GGCTATATTTTGTAACGTAAAATCAATATATTTCCCGAATTCGTCTTTTCCGGGCATAGATAACTAATGTACGTGCGAGACCAAACTGTAAGACGATCAGCGTACAGGTCACAATGGCTCCGAGGCGCATTTAGAGTCTAGGGCAGGGTGAATATCGCTTGAGGATTCCTCAACGGCACGTCGAGGATTCTCTGCCCGATCAGACACGATCTCTCGCGCGGACATTCACACTCGCCATGCGCGTGCCGTCTGTGCTCTCCGCGCGGATGTTCACTCTCGGCACTACTCTCGCATGGTAGAGAGCTATGGTCGAGGAAATTCCTCGACCGTTATTCACCCTGGTCAAGGGTACCAACGTCGAATCCATTCGACAAATGGATAAGCTCGGCAGCGCAGTGCTCTAAAAATATGGCAAAGATTACTTTATCCCGACTGTGCTCGTCCACTAATTATGGGGTTTAGCAGAAGCTTCCACGCTCCCTATGGGACACTATGACTCACATAGTGTATTCAGCAGACTTGTCCCGAACAGACCACCATCAGCCTCTGTTGCTGTCAAGCCAGCTAAAAGAGAAGAGGTTGACGAAAAGGAAGTACTCGGAAAAACCCTTCTTCAAGTTTTTGCCCTGAAGGCTCAGGATTTCTAATCAAAAAGCGTCCACAAGTTGCTTACTGAGAGATAGTATGTTGCCGATAATAGTGGGGCATGGGTTAGCTAATTGTTGACTGTACTAAAGAAGAAATAAATTCATAAAAATTGTAATTCGGCCAAAGACAGAGACTTTTCCGGCAAATCAAACATGTTTCCATAATAACTAGCGCTTTTGCTTTATTACTCTCATGATTAGTGTTGACGTCACTGAATTATTTGTAGATTGTCTTGTTATGGCTACAATCTTTGTTGAGCTTTTCTATACGTTCACGTTTCCCAACAATAATGCACATACAAATAAGTGGTGAACAATCGGGTTCGTGCAGTTAATATTTGTAAATTAATGCCTATTCAAATGGGCTTTTATTTGATGCTAAGTACTTTTCTGAAAGGAGGGTTTTCTTTGTCACGCTTCATTTCCAATGTCTTGCCTCCAATCACTTGTGGGCTCCATCATGAACGCCGCGAAGAAATAGCGTGGACAGCTTTGGTAGTGCAGATGGTAGCGGTCTTGCTTTTCAAGCAACGGGTTGAGGTTTCGATTCCCAGCGGGGTTTGGGGTTTTGCTTTTTTTAAACCTGAAAAGCCTTTTTTTATTTCATAAACTGTCGCCTGAAGATAGATCTACGATGAGTTTGCAAACAGATCCTATCGATTTTGAGCACAACTTGCCTGTGAGCAGGGTCGGTCCTATCGTTGCTACTTTTCAAAAAGTTTTTACGACCCCCCCCTCATGAAATGTTTCATACACGACCCCCTCTTTCGCAACAATTTTTACCTCAAAAAATTACCGTCAGGCGGGAGGAGGCGGGTACTCTAATACGTAAAACCGCGAAAAATTCCTAACATTTCCCTTAAAAATTCCATGTATTTTTACCTCACATTCTAAACATCCATTTCCGGGGGCGGGGGGGGCGGGGTAGGGTAAATACCGCGCGGAAAGGCGCAATATCTTCAACCGCCCGCTCCCACTCAATCATAAGGCAACATTCTTATCAACCGAATCAAAACACCCTCCCCTTCCTACAAACTCGCAAAACTACGACCCACGCGTTCTAACTCTGTACAACAAGGTTCCCTCTTCCGGAGGCCATATTGGGCTTGTAGTGACAGGTGCCTTTTCGGAAACTGGGTAACGATGTTCGTCGTCCAGGGGAATCGACTACCTGAAAACGGGATTAATTATAGCGTACACTGAGGTATACACCTGGTGGACACGATGGATTCACGCCCCTAAACTCCCAATTTTAGGTTAAACCATCATTGCCTGACGGGGTAAATCGGAGAGGGGGCTTGATTTATGAACAAATAGGGCCATACCTATCTCTAGAGATAGCTCGCAAAGGCCCTATTCTATAAAACCTACGGCAACCAGCACCTATATTTGCCTTTCTAAAGTGTGGTTGGAGCTATTCCATCCATACATATAATAGCCTTTTGAGCGATTGAATGGATTAACGATGATCGGAATTTTCCGAGGTGCAGTCAAGTTTCCAAGATGTGATCGAAGCTTGCCCATAGGAGGTCAACTCGTTTACGACCCCTTGACAACACCGTCGGGGCGAAAATGCCCGGCTCCTCTGCTACAGGGGCACAAAGTATTCAGGAGCGATGCCGACCAAATTCGTTATTAGTTGCCTTATGTTCTTTGTACGGGTGCTATGTTACTGCAAACGGCAAAAGAAAATTCGTTAAAGGAATCTTGCGCGGAAAATTCTTGCACTCTTTCCTAACATGAATATGTCAGTTGTGATCACTGGAAATAGCACACAAAGTTTCACGCATGAAGATTCGGTTTCTGAAGAGAAACAAACGTACAAAAACTACACGTTATGGACCATCGAAGGACCAGGAGGCAGAGCCAGGCGAGGCATGGAAAGAAGACGGCGTTTGGCCGGCTACGTACCAGGCGACGCAATGAGAGAATCGGGTTAAAGCGCGCGATTTCGGAGAGTGGAGACAAATCGATCGATGGAATAGGATGGAGTAGAAGTGTAAGATGTGAATGCAACGAAGCAGAAGGCCAGAAAGAGCTTCTAGTGAATGCACTCCAAGAACCAAGTTTGAGCATCCCCGTCGCCAGCATTCGTGAAAGACGTCCGTGGGCAATTCGAACGCGTAGCAGCCTTTTCGAGTTTTCGAATTTCTAATCAAAACGAAAGCAATACTTCAGTTCTTTTCACTATTATCGTGGATAATGAGTCTCAAGCCAGTGATTTATGGCTGAAATAGAATCATGATTTTTCCGCGCAAGATTCCTTTAAGGAGTCGATCCCATGACCTCTTTTCCGTGAGCTTCGACCCGCTTCTGCTCATAATTCCTTCAGAGAAGAGTTTAGCAGGTAACATAAAGCATATTTTAGCTTACCGTACCAAGGTGCGTATAGACATGTACATCTCATTTCATCTGATTGGGTTGACCAAATTACCTTTCTGGTAAGCTGATCATCAGGCGCTTTAAAGTTCCTTCTTCGTGAAGTCATTTATTCAACGGGCTCTACTGAACAGGAATTCAAAGGCTGTTATCATCACGCCATCGGAGGAACAACGTTGGGAGGCGGTCCCAACCACGCCTCCAGCGCGCTGAAGGATGAAGGTTCTAGTAGTTACGTATGGTCAAAAAAAGGGTCCACGTTGTTCCATCTAGGCGGCGCTACACCTTCATGGTGCTATCCGCAAGACTCCGTGTTTTGCCCCCCCCCGTAATACATCACCTGGACATCAGTCACATTCTCCATGGGATTAAGAACAGAAGAAGCCTAAAGGGGGTCCAGTCAACAGCCAAATCCTAAATGAAGTAAGGGATTTAAAGATTTCCTCAGTAGAGAGCAGGTTAATTTTTATCTTAGTTTTCAATATGTTTGTAGCACTTTTCGAAGGAAGTACTTTCAGTGTGGCATTTGTGATCATCCCCTTAGTGAATCCGACTACGTCACGTACAATCTCATCGTGAGCGGGGTCATTTTGCCTCTCATTGGTTTATTCGGACTCGTTGGAAATGGCCTTTCTGCGTTTGTTTACAGCAGACCAGGTACAAATAACACTTTTCTTTAATTTTTCATTTATTTTTTATTCATTTGTCTCTGTTTACACCAATTTTGAAAATCCTGTGGAACAAAAGTTATAACACAAACACAAGTAAGAAAATACACAGGCAGTTAAGCAGAGATTTGCGGCGAGTAGTCAGTTTTGTGAGAAAAAAGTGGACAGGTTTCCGTATACGGTCGATACTCTTTAGATGTGCTATGTCCTTGGCCAGCTTTTGAAATTGCAGAGTTTTCTCTATCAGGGTCAACCCTACGTTGTTACTAGTAACAACGGGGGGTCGTACCTGGTTGAGTTTATAGGAGGGGGGTCGTATCCGCTTCAGTCGCTTGAAATTACACCCCCCCCCCCCCCTAGAAAATGAGGTTGTGGGAAGATAGGTAAAATTGGGTAAAAAGTAAGGGTGAAATGGTGGGAATAGAAGGAAATCATAGGAAATTTTCGAAAATTTTACTGTTTCAGTAGCCTATATACCCCCGCTCGACGGCATTTTTGGAGGAAAAAGTGGGCGGAGTTTGGTGGGTTGAGTGGTACCAGAATTAAGTACTATAGAGAGGATGATGGTGGTCGAGGTGTCGAAAAGGGGGTCGTATCAAGTCCACCTTGGGGGAGGGGGGTCGTAAAAATTTTTGAAAAAGTAACAACGATAGGACCGACCCTGTCTCATATCTTTTTTCGACTACATAATTGATTCCTGGGATAATTCGTGCGCGATCTGTACATATACGTGCGATGTGTATGGTCCAAGTCGTGCGTTCTACTCCAGTAGCATTGCTCTAGTAGAAGCGCCACTCACACCAGCTATCGAAACGATAAAAAACGATCATATTTGCGAGTTGAGGTGTGAGTTAAAAAAAGCAAGGGAAGCGGAGAAAGAGCCTCCAAATAAGCTCATTTGAGCCCGGTGGCCAACGGCGGCCAGAATCGTAGCGAGCCTAAGTCTTTTGTGGCTTATTTTGAGCATTCTACGCTATGAAGACTGACTCTGCTAGACTCCTAAACGAGAAAGCTGACATAGGAACTAAAGAGCATGAGGTTGAGTGAGACACAGGCGATTCTGATAATGTACAACATCAAAGAAAAATCACAAAAGAAGGGTAGCGAGCAAAATTAGGCGTTCTTCCTGCCCTGTAATTTTCCATCAAAAAATATGACATTATGGGACCAGTGCATCCAAAGAGACAGTCAAATTTTTATCCCTCAAGGAATCCTTCGAGAAATCGTCAACTCAAATTTTATAGAAGTATGTATAAATATGCTTTAGCTTGCCTGTGCTTTCTGAGCGCTCTTTTTGTCTCTGTGTAAAAAATTCTTTCCTTCACTACGCGTTTACCTCTGCAATAATTGCACTTAGAAGAGGTTTTTTACTGCCTTTGTTCGCTGTAGGAGCGAGAGCTGTATAATGAACAGTGTCCGCGTACCCAAGTGAAGCCTTGAGATATTTCTGACTTCTGAAATGGCACTCACTCGTCTACGGTGGAAACAACACAGAATCTATGACAAGATCAAATTTCATTTATACTTGGGAAAAACTTTCTAGAGGCGCATGCTAGCGCTAGGCGCGGTAGTTCGGGTAGGTCAGGTGTCAGTGGAATTCTGGCTTTTACGACCTCTTCTTCTCTCCCCACCACCTGGAATGTGGTGAGAGAACGTGATGCTATTCGCCCCTTAGACCCCTCCAAAACTGAGATCGAGGGGAAGGGTGGAAGGGAAAGGGCATATCTACGTTTGAAAAAAAGCAAACTAGGTTTCAACACCATTATTTCAATTAAATACGCCTATTACGTTCAAGTAGATAATAACCGCGACCTACAACCTCCCGAAATCCCGAATACAACCTCCTCCTTCCAGAAGGTAGACCCGAACTTCTGTCGAGTAATCCCAACAGTTGCTTACCCTGGCCGACCTTTGTGTTGCAATGAAGCTGGAAAACCCGAATTCATTCACGACTAAAATTGCTTGCTTTTTTATTGGAGCGTAGAACTGCAACTTCTAATTATTAACTGATATTATTATATTATTAATTATTAATTATTTAATTTAATTATTAATTATTATTATTAATTATTATTATATTAATTGTTAACTGAGTATCGGAAATATTTTACAGAGATGCGAACGTCAACAAATCTTTATTTGTGCGCATTAGGCTGCTCTGATAGTGCTGTCATATTGACGGGAATTTTTCTATTTTTTCTAGACAGCGTACGAAAGTTTTCACTCAACTTAACAAGATTGTTTGGGGTGAGTTATCGATTTTTGGACTGACTTACTGGATTGTGCTGGATTATTGATTTTTCGATGTCATTGGTACAATCAACATTTCAGTTATTTTCTCCTATCGTTTTTCCTATGGGTATGACAGCACAGACATGCTCCGTATATTTCACTATATTTGCGGGAGCCGATTGTTTTGCTCAGGTGAGTCATTTGGTCATTTGGTTACAAGGCTTCTGTCAACCAAAGGGTGAGAGCGTAGCTGGAAAAGCACACACTTTGTGTCTTATTGGGACTAAGCCTTTTGAAGAAGATAAAGAAAGAGGAGATGCTGTGATAGTGAGAGCTCCCAGACATCACTACAAAACGCTGAACCGCCAAGGCTCACGGTTGACAGATGTCCTGAGACCGAGTCATTTGAGCGAATTTTTTCCAGCATTAGCTCATACACTTTTTACTGATTGGGAATTAGCATGAAAAATAACTTTCTTCAAAGCAACATAGGGTAGTGAGCTATCCTAAGGGAAAGTTTTTACAAGTTTTAAATGCAGTTATTACTCACAAAAGTTTCTTTCTTCACAGTTACTAAAAATGTATTCATAGTTGTTTATTTCAATTAGTTCGCCTTCTACCTTGTTTTTTTTCCTTGATCATAGTTTTATTTCTTTGAATATTTGTTCACTAGCTTATCCCTTTCCTGGTTGCGTCCGGCTCAACAGTTTCAGCATTCGCTAATTTTTTGCAATTTTTCTGAATATATCAAGACTATAACAGAAATACTCAGAATTTGTTTCTTACTCACACTGTTGCTCACGCCATTAATTAAATACTCAGGATTCACATTATTAACATTTAGGAATGGACTTAAACCCGATGTAAATATAATGCATCTCACCTATGGGATCCAGAATCGAACCTCCAACTCGAGACCTGGAATGGGTTTTCACAAGCAGCCTTTCCTGGCCCACAGTTTTTCATTCGAGCGTCCCAGCATTACAGATGTTATCCACTATTTCGCGTTCCTTTTCTTTGGCGATCTTCCAGTTTTTGACCCTTCTTTTCAATTCGTATCATTTCCTGAAACGTTGATTTCTCAATTTCCCCTAGGTTTTTTGTTAGGTTTACCGAATGTCCCATTTTGTTGTCCGACTGCCTCATGACTTTTCGAAAACCTCGCTCCTCCCATGCGACACTCAGCCCATTCCACAAGGAAATAAGCCAAGTTATATGAACTCGCTGGTCAAAACCTCTGAAATGAATCCATATAAATGGTTTCGTGCGGAAGTGATCTAGTGTCAAGTGGCGCTCTGGGAAAAACACTGACTTGTAGGTCTTCCTGGTGGACTTTGTAGGCTAAATCACGATCAAAATGCCACCACGATGGATGGGAGTGGAATTTGGTGCGCGTTTCAAAGACGGATTGAACAACGCAGGATGCTTTATAAACCTTTTTCGTTTTACAAAATGGGTTCGAGCCGTTTTCTAGAGCCTCTCTTAAATATTTCTGAGTCTTCATCTACAATTTTGATTTCTGATTTTTTTTTTGAAAAAAATTGCTTATCTTCTGATCGGGTACCAGTTTAGGTATGCCTGCCAGAAAATGTGAAGAGATCAGTCGCTAGAACGCCGTTTATTCGCCGTTGCATTGTTTTCGTGTTTGTATTTGCTGTTCTCTACAATATTCCTCATTGTTTTGAGGCGGTTGTTATTGATTGCTATCATGAAACCCTCCGAGGGTCCTCCTGGGAGGTCTGTCCGGAAACGATGAGATACAACGAATTGTATGTGCTGCACGTTCTTCTCACAAACTTTTTTTCCGGAGTTTGAGTTACTAAGGGGAGGAGCGATCAGTGCAATAGCTCGTGGCCTACAGTAGTCCCCATTTTTGAAGGTGTCAGAAGCTCCAGGGTTCGTAAACCATCCCGCTCACATTTTCACATCCACCCCTGAGGTTCCTACTCCTCCGAAAAATGGGACTACTGTAGGCGGCACGAACTATTGCACCACACTGCATCACCCTAGTGACATAAAATTTTTTTCTGGTGCTTTAGTTCTTTAGCAAATTTGTATAGATTCAAGAGCACTATCATTGAAAAATATTTAGGTATCAAGAAATCTACTACAAGTATATGTACGCAATATTTCTAGCTGTTGGCCCTCTTATAATACTTGTTATATTGAATACATTCATTATTGGTAAGTCGATGGATGTACACTTCTCCTAAGGATACTTGCCGTTACCGGTACCGTTGCGACATCACGCGCGCGTCGCAACATCTATAAGGCCGGTGCCAGACTTTGCGAATCCAGCAAATCGCGGAGAACAAACAATGCGCCAGTGGTTCGAACAATGAGCTAGCGATTCAACAGTTGGGAAATTGCTGGAGTCAATGTGCGGAAGAGAGGGACTCTTATCACTTATCCCACTGTCGAATCACTGGCATACTGTCCGAACCAACGATTCGCTGGTGATTCGCAGAGTCTGGCACCGGCCTAATTTCGAGGCGTGCGATTGCCGCGCAACTCTGCTGTGTAATGGAGTGCTGTTTGCGCGGCACGCATGCGCCCTTAGGGCACACACCTCATGTCATAAATCTGGTCAGGTATCGCAAATCTTTCAGGTGCATCAATATTTGGCACTGGAGGAACAAGTGCTGGAGATACGATATCTTTGGTAAGCTTCTAAATGGATATCAGTGTAGATTAATTGCAATTCTCAATGTTTCTAGATACTGGTCGTACTCCTGTTTATTGCTTGTAACGTAGCCGCCCTATTGCTGAACACTTTTGAAGATAGAATAATCGAGTCAATTGGGCCGTACATAAACTACATCGTTGACCTCTCCAATTTGCTCGTCGTTTTTAATTCAAGGTAAGTTCTGTGTAGATATTCTATTGGACTTCTGGCAGCGTAAAAATCGGTCGAGGATTCGTCACGACTCGTCGAGGATTTTCGCCTGTTCAGTCACGCTCTCCCGCGCGGACATTCACTCTCGCCACGCGCGAGCCGTCTGTGCTCTCCGCGCGTACATTCACTCTCGGCACTATTCTCACACAGTACAGAGCATGTCGAGGAGTTCCTTAACCGTTATCCACCCTAGTTCTGAGCGAATTGATTCGATTTGGCTACTTCACACTGCTTTTTCATCACATGATAGACCGAGTTAGTGAAGCATGGAACATCAGGTCGGTCAAGCTAACGTCCCCATTCTGTCTGTCCTTTTCACTGGGTCGAGAGCGAATCTCATGTCGGAAAAAGGGTGCTCCCGACCTTGGGGGGGGGCATTCAACATTGCATTCAAAATTGCGAACTACGATTAACATCAATCCAAGAGAGGGGAAAAACGCTTGGGAGAAAAGGATTTGCTCACATCCTTTCAGAATCCCTAGGGCTTGATCTCTGGTTTTATGAGTGGCTCACTCACTTGTATGTCCCCCCCCCCCCCACCTGGTCAACAAAATAAGCGCCGCAAAAGTATCAGATTCGAGAAAACCCATTGCGGGGTCCACCTATACATTCATTTGGAGCTTTTGACTCTCATCGGCTTTCCCTGCACAACTTCAATGTTATGCCATTGCAAACACGACACATAAAACAACAGCCTGCACCCTAACTAGGGTCAATAGGGTCAAACATGACGTCGAAAAATTTGAAGTTTAACGCCCCCTCCCCCCCCCTTATTCGGTAGTCGCTATAAGACTCCACCGCCACATGTGTAGAGGGTCTCCCATGAATACGCCAACTTACCACCACTCCTACCACCATGGCAAATATGGTATAAAGGCATATGCTCCAATTTTGCCTTTCTCTTGAAGGGACCTTCCACACCTAATCTCCCTCAACGAGTCCGACATCCCCACTGCGATCTCCTCTAATAATTCCAAATACAACCCCCCTACCGCTTTCAAGAATGCAAGAAAACCAGATATACGACTCCTCTCCTCATATCCAAAAGTCCTTCGTACGCCTCCCACTTCCTCTTCCTAAAGTCCTATAAACTGTGGACCCCGGCTCTACCCTCTGTGAACTGTGGTGCACTCTTCTAGCTGCGTTGAAAAATTTAAATGTGCGACACGTCGAGCCAAACTCAAACCCGTAAATGCCGTTCTTACCTGGTTCGGAATGCACACTGTGTGCGACTGTCGCCTGTGATTGGCCGTTACACCTAATTCACCGATAGTAAGGCGCACCACGTCCCTTGCGCTCTTTCTCTACGTTTAGCATGATTGATGCAATCATTTCGACTTTCATTCTTAACGGACACCTCCTCATGAGTCATAATCTCTGTCAGCGTGGCATAAAGGTCAAAAGTGACCTCATTGCACTTGAATGAATGCCGGGGATAGGTGAGGCAGTGACTTGCCAAATGAAAAACAAAGATGAAGGACTGGTTAAAACATTGGTAATGGCAGAGGAATGCTAGGCGCCGGAACAAGAGAGCACGGGGACGAGCGAGACACAGGCACACACTCGCTAGACGTAAGGAGACGGACCTGGGAAAAGGATTGCGCTAGATACATGTCCCCCCCCTGACGTTGCTACTGGGGCTCCATCTATCACAATCGCATGTACAGCCTCGTACATCCTCTCCAATTATGGAGCACTCCTTAGCTAGTCTTGGATGTACCGCTGACCTTTTGTGGGTATGTAAGCGGTTTGCAGAAAATGAGTAGGCGAGAAGCCTTGCTACTTTCGGAACAAAAAATGCACCAAATGATACCAGCAGTCTCCATGTCTATCTTGAAAACATAGTCCATCTTAAAAACCTCGTTTGGCATACAGTATAAAAACAATCGCAGCATCAAATGATACTGTAACTTGTGTAATGAAATTCGTGAGATCCAATAGCGTAATTTCAGTTTCAACTTCATTATCTACGTGACGTTTTCACGGAGTTTCAAAGAGACGCTTTGTAAATATCTGTGTGATCGTAGCGCTAAGGCAGATTACGACACACCTTGCATAGCAACCGAGAAAGCATCTGGACCGACGTTATATAAAGAAACATTTGGTCGTCTACTTGCTGCTTCTCAACCAGAGGTACTTATATAAGGTGAGTGTGAAGTTTGCTACCTAGCTAGCCCAATGCACAGATTAATTCCAGCGAGCCCTGTTCTTTCATTCGTTCAAAACTCCCAATAGTGTGCTCGGTTTTCTTTCCTGAAAACGCAGAATGTCTAAGAAGTGGGATTCAACGTTTCCTTCTCCTGAGCCTTCTGTCTATGTACACATCTTAAAGCGAGGGATTACGATAAGTTTGGACTGGGTTCATAGTGGAAGTGGAGATGCTGAATAATGCCCCAGTGGCGAAAAAAGCAAAGAAATCCGTCAAGAAGGCGCAAAATGGGACCCCTTTCTTTGCCCGTTGACCTCCGATAATGGACGAGCTAGCAACCAATTAGGAGGTCGTTTGCACATGTTAAACTGATAGCCTCTATCATTTCAGCAAGATCATCTTTGAGGGCGGAAGTGGTGTAGTGACAAGTGGCGCGCTTACCACGCACGAGCGGTCCGGGATCAAATCCTGGGTCGTGAGTCGCCCGGGCCAACCAAGCCTTCCATCCCTCCGGGGTCGGTTAATTGGTACCAGACTTGTCTGGGAGGAAAAAACACTGACTTGAACATCGGCTGGCCCCCGCAAGTCATTGTATAGGCCACATCGCATTCAAACGCCACTGCGAATGTACAAATGGAAGTAGAATGCGTGCCGCATCCAAAAAGGGATTGATCAACGGCAAATGCTTTATCTTTATCCTTTTTATCATGCTTTTGATCATCAACGCATACCCTATGAAAAGTTATAGGATACACTCTGGAAGTGGAATACCTCGTCACATTGGCAATCCAAGGGCGCTGCTGCTGGGTGCGGAGCACAGACCGTGGCGGGGCTCAGAAACAGAGTCAACGAAGGCGTCGAGAAAATCCGAACTAACACACGTCCCCCCCGCCCCTCAACTCTGACCGAAGGCCGCAAGCCCCATGAAACAACCCTCTTTAGAAGCCAACTATATAACCAGTGTTAATTCCATCCCCCAAACGCTCATAAAAAAGCCCTCGTCGTCCACAAAAACTCGTTTAAAAAGTATAAGTGAAAAAGTCAAAGAATGATCATTAATGACGAGTCCTGTCAAACGAGCAAACGAGAAACGGAGCAAAAAACGTCAAACTAGTCACTAGAAATGGCGTACTATGACAACACCTCTTCTTTGTTTATTTCCTCCACAAGACTTACCAAATTCTAGTACTACACAGATTATGGTTCTCAATTTACACGTCCCCCTTTCGCTCAAAGGAAGCCTTGTAAAAGCCTTCGCCAGCTGTGTGTTGACTGGACTTTGGCGTTGACCGTGGAGCAGCTTATTTACTATTGAAATTTGAACAAATATTCAAATGATTATAACTTTCTTCAAAGTTAACGAATTTTCAATCTGAAAGCTGATTTGGGAGTTTTGTGAAGAGCTTTTTCTAATCAGTACTGAAATTACAGGAAGTTATAAGAAATAACAACACTCAACAACGAGGAATCGAGACCGCACACCGATTTTTACACACTTCCCGAGCCATCACTGCTCATTCCCGTCAATTCCAACCCGTATACGGCTCATAAAAACTAAAATCTTCCTCTATCAAACGGTCGCTAAAAGCAGCTTCATACGTCCAGTACTCAAAAAATGGCCACGTTGAGGATTTTTGCAAAATTAACGAGGAAAATTCGTGATGAGTGCGAGTTTTTACGCTTTCCAAAGCCATAACTCCGTTCAAACTCATGCAATCTGGAAAGTTAATACGTCATCATAAACTAGAAGATTTGCTCTTTCTAAAGGCAACTAAAACTGCTAAATACGTTCACTATTAAAAAACTGGCCACGTTGAGGATTTTTGCCCGAGTACCGCCGAAAGGTACTTTTTCGCTACATTAGCTCTATCCCAACGACTATAGCTCCTTGTACCGCGCAATCGACTACCCATACTCGAACGCTAAGCAACATTAAAATCCCGCTGCTTTCTCCTCGCAAAATTAAAACATTAAGGGTCTCAACTTTAAAGGTTACATGCTTGTGAATTTGACGCTGAAGGCTGCGTTTCTTGTTGAATAGTGTACTCCTCTCTGTAATTTAACATGAACTCTTTCAGAACCCTCTTGATTCTTCCTGAATTAAGATTCGTTATCAAGATAGCCGTAGCTGAAGCGCGCGCAACCAACTGGGCCCACTCTGGGATGCGCCGTGTGCTTCACATCTCGTTGGATTTGAGGACCTACTTGAAAGATAAAATATCCCTAGAAAACGTGCGAATTTCGGATCCTTTGACTTGTGTGGTGATGAAACACTAAAGTCACTAAGAATTGCTAAGCGGACACCTCTAAATCACGAAGATTTTGTGTGGACGGAATCAATTGTTATTGGAAATACTCTGGCCTGGTATCGATTCGATCCTTAATGTTTGTCCTCCGACGATGATCCTACTGTATCAATCGGGCCCGATCTCTCCCCAGCGGGCCAATACGACCCCCCCCCCCTCTGTGACATGTCGAGGATTCCTCAACGCACGCTTGACCCTGCGGTACCCGTCCCCGTCGCTCGGGCGGAGCACAGACCGTGGCGGGGCTCAGAAAGGAATGGCAAGCCTTGTACGCTGCAACTAGCGCACCTTTGACCACACAAAAACGCAACATTTCGTTTCCTTGGGCCCCTGACTACTGCTTCCAATGGTGCATGTACTTCCACGCTGCATACGCACTTTATCGTAATCTCTCGCTTTAAAGGAATCTTTTACGGAAAAAGCTCCGCCCTCATTACCACAGAAAACGATACCTTAAAGGAATCTTCCACGGAAAAAGCTCCGCCCTCATTACCACAGAAAACGATACCTTAAAGGAATCTTCCACGGAAAGAGTGATCATTTTGTCTTGTGTGTAGGATTAGTATTATCGAAACTAACGCTTATGTTCCGTTCTTTTTGCTATGCTCATGAGGCTAGGGGCCTAAGGTATCGTTTTTCTGTGGTAATGGAGGCGGAGCTTTTTCCGTAGGAAGATTCCTTTAATGTAGTGAAAGCTGTTGTTACTACAAGTATTGGGACGCAGTGTTGTTGGGTTCCAGTGGCGAAATCGGATTCAGCAATGAAATTTGGATAGCGTCGAAATATTAGATTAACGCAAGACAACAAAACAGCTTGAAGACTGAAAGGGTCTTGAAACAATAAACACTAGAAGTGTTCTTAGGAGCTTTGCAACCGCCACTTGGCTCCTAAGCAAAGGGATCTTAACTAATGACTTTTGTGTATGCATAAGTGCCGGGAACCTATGAGTGGGCCAGAGTAGTATAATGGTATCTAGAACTATCTAAAATGCTGTTTGCTTTCATTTGATTGGAGTAGAAATTCGCTATGTTCAATTGAATTTGGGTAACTGAGAGAGTTTTACCTCTTCTTAGTTATTAATGAGCTCATCACCCCCCCCCCCCTCCCGCCACCCTCGCCACTCGACGGAATCCCCGGCATCCGGAAGTGCGGAAGAGCGGAAGAACAGAAGTGCTGCTGCGAATGGAGGCGGGGGGGGGGGTAGGGGGAAGAAAAAAATTCAGCGACGGCGCGCTTTGTTTCTTTATTCCGAGCATAAGGTCACCGTGCGACGTCGCACATAGAAGGGTCCGCTCAATTTGGGAACTGGAGAGACGCAGACAGACAGAGCAGCCTTCGCATGAATGTGGAAAAGATTTTTAAAAAAATGTAAAGGGCTATTGCACAAACCGATTACTTTTCACGTGGCCCGATTGAATTGGCACTGTCTCGCGCAGTGACTCTTCACTACGGTAAATATACGGCAAACATATGTAATATAATATATAAGATTGACCATGAATATAGTGTTACTAACGCTTATAACACTTTTTCTAAGGCCGTCAACTTGGAATTTTTTTCATGAAACAGTTTCGTAATTTTCAACGTATTTCATGCTTGCACACAAACATGCTCTGCAAACACGTGCTCTCGAAGTTATTTCCGTTTGGTGAAAAAAACTAATTTTGATACGGCTTCCCTGTCCCTGGTTCGGAAAGGGCTGCGTAAGGCCTCCGACGGCAGGGTCAACCGTCACGTTCGAACATTTTCGGGATTTTTGCGACCCCCCAATACAACCAGCCTTCCCCCACCGCGACCTCTCCCTCTTCTATAGTATTTGATTCTGAGACCAGTTGACACAGCCCAAAACCTACCTAAAACTCCGAAACTCCACCCACTTTTTCCCCAAAAATAGCCGTCGAGCGGGGGGTATATACAACCAGTGAAACGGCAACTTTTTTCGCACGCACCTATGCCCTGCGCCCCTGATGACCAAACGTAACCAGCAGAACTGCGCAATGCGACCCCTCTCCCCTCCCAGAACACAAATGCGACCCCCCGTTCGAACAGTTCGAACGGACGGTTGACCCTGTCCGACGGTATTCGGACTACTGAAAACCGTCCGTATTATTTATAGCTCTTCTCAACCTGTTCTGGATTTTTTAGCTGGCAAAAAAAAATTTCTGAAAAAATTTAGTACAAGCTGTTTTCCTTGTGATATAGATAATTCCTATGTAAATGTTCTAGTCGTTTTTTTTTTCAGAGAAAAAGTTTCCTAAGTTGAATTGAAAGCAAAAATAGATCTAAAGGCTCAACCCAAGATGGGGTGAGCGAAATGTTGCGAATAAGCTGAAGAGGAGCTGGGGCCCCACATATATCCAATGCTAGGAGTCGTCGTGGCAAAAGATGGCCTAGAAGCGACCCTATTAGGCACTAAACGCTAGCCCGTCCGGCCGCCCACCGTGATAGTATCGAGGATCCACGTCGTTTCGCAGATTTCCACACTATCTCGTCACGAAGCATTTCTTTCTCTCTTCGGCGCCCATTATCGCTGTCTAAACCATATCCCCCACGGTCGAAGGAAAAAATGTCCGTATTTTTGTGTTTCCAACTAGTTCTCCTTATTTTTCCTAACTGTCGGTTTGCTTCGTGCTCCTGATTTCATTATCGAGCCCCGAACCCAACCAGCTTGAATAGGGAACGTGCTTTTAACCGACCTCGCTGGACTTTTTCATCAATTTTGTAGTTAAGCGTAAATTTCAGTCATTGCATGATAGTCTGAGTTGCATTCTGAAGTCATTCATGTTACGATGTTACAGGGTCACGCTGACGTTGCTGCATTGAAGAATACATCGTGAAGGCAGACATCTCATCTCAAATGTGATATATCTATTCCTTATTGAAAGCATAAAAATTTCTTATAATGTTTTGTGTGTGATGGAAAAGGATGGGAATCTGGCAATCACTAGAACGATCGCGATTACCACGCTAAGGCCTCAGGTAAGTACAGCTGAAGAGCGGGGGGCATGGGAAAATATTGCAGTACATAGCATTTTACCTCAGGCAAAAGACAGCTCAGCACAGGATATGTCGCTCATTGAGCTATTTTGGATGATGAATCATATTTGCCTAGTCGTAGAGTCATCAGTAGCCAGGAACTCAAGAATCTTGGCTTGCTGGATTTCACGCTGCCTTGGAATGACGAAACCGATGAAGTAGCCGGAACTTCGCAGGACCGAGCAGTTGTGTACCTCCCCCATGCTGTACTTCTACATGGCCCCTCTTGAGTAGATCGTCACTTTCAGATCTGTCTTGAATTTACCACATCACGACAAATCTGAGCATGATGCAGTGGCAAGCAGCCTAACGGCTCGGGGATCTTATCCTGAACCATATGCCGTCCAGAGTCCGTCTCCTCAAGTTCGGTCGATTGTTCCCGAACTCGTCAATGAAAACACTGGCTAAACATCGACTGTCCCCCAAGTTCATTGCATAGGCCAAATCACATTTAAAGTATAACACAACTCCGAATGGAAGTGAAATGCGTGGCGCCTCAAAAAAATGAATTGACTAAAGCCGAATGCTTTACATTTTTCACGCTTCATGACGTGAGGGAGAGGAGTAGAGGGTTCAAGCAGAGGTTGGCTCGAGCGAGATTTTGTTCCTTAATTGAAGCAATACAAAGCGAGTATTGCGATTTAGCGCGTGGTTAAGCATTCGAAGCAATTCTGAAGCGGAGGGGTTCCCCTCGTCGGAGGAGGAGGGGCTGCTAGTCCCAGAAGTCTGCTCCAGCGTGATGGCTAGTGGCCACGTTTAGCCACGTTCGCACATTTCCAACCAACAAATATAAATAATCTAACCCTTAAAGCGAATCGGTATACAAAAGCAACAATCACGGTTTCTTATAAATGACCTCATGGAACCTGTGAGAGCGGAGGACGATCCAGGGATCAGATTTGGGATTAAATCATGCTTTTCCAAGTTTGCCATCATCCTGGGTCCAAATGGGCTTGAATCGGTACCGAGTTTGACGGCAAGAATCGAAACGTCGACTTGTAATCGACTGGTTCCTGAAGGGCAGTCCGTAAGCCCATATGCCAAATCGCAACCAAATGCCGCTGCGATTTTAAATGGCCCATTCAAAGGAGGGATTATTTAACACCAAATTCTCCGTCTCATCGTTTAGTGCTGAATTGTCCTGAAGAGTTTTCTCTGCGCTCACGATTACCAGTAGATGAGTGATGATGTCGAGTGCTCTTACACTTTTAGTCAAGGAGGAGCAGATGAATACTCCTGCTTAAAACTTTTACAACAACAACACTACAGAAAAAAAATCGAGTTTTAAGTAATGTGCTTAAAAAGTGATTTATTTATTCACAGACAGCCGATCACATAAAATATAACACATTTGATTTCTCAAGTCCAAATTGAAGTACTTCTAACAGCTATGTTCCAGTGATGTTCGAATACAAAAATCGTTCAGCCTATCAATGGATAAGACTGTTCAAAGTTAACCACCTAATACAATCCTTTTTACTTGGTATGAGTCAAAAGTACCCGCCGCGAGTGCGCGCGCGACAAAATTCGCGTCAAATAATCTGAGCCGACGACGCACTCATTCTAAGTAGCTAGTTGCACATAAGTTCGAGCCGGGGTCGATTCAAGCTTTTTGCTTGCCTTAGCTCCACTACTCAATCAGCCAATTCACTAGACGCTTTCTATCCTTCTGGAAACGTATCCAAAATACAAGCGATGTCGGGATGTGTTCTACTGTGAAGTAGAAGTCCTTCCACTTATGGCCCCTATGTACATAATTCCAGCGTACATAGTAATAACAGGGGCCAACCGCCTAACAATAGATGCTTTTTGAGCCGCTGCTTGTGACATAGAGCGCCGAACCGGGTAATGATGCAAAGTGTGACTCACCCTTCCCAACCTAACTAATAATGGACAAGGGAATCTTCGATCGAGTGCAACCACGTTTTCACGGTAGGAAAGAGAACTCAAAAGCGTAGCAATCG